GACAACCATTTTCAGGTCTTGCCATAGATTTTCAGTAGATTTAAGTTAAAACTGTAGCTTGACCACTCAGGAACATTCACTGTCTTCTTGGTAAGCAACTCCAGTGTAGATTTGGCCTTGTGTTTTAGGTTATTGTCCTGCTGAAAGGTGAATTCATCTCCCAGTGTCTAGTGGAAAGCAAACTGAACTGGGTTCTCCTCAAGGATTTTGCCTGTGCGTAGCTCCATTCCATTTATTTTTTATCCTGAAAAACTCCCCAGTCCTTAATGATTACAAGCATACCCATAACATGATGCAGTCACCACTATGCTTGAAAATATGGAGAGTGGTACTCTGTAATGTGTTGTATTGGATTTACCCTGAACATAACACTTTGTGCTCAGGACAAAAAGTGTTTTACAGTATTACTTTAGTGCCTTGTTGCAAACAGAATGCATGTTTTGGAATATTTTTGTTCTTTACAGGCTTCATTCTTTTCACTCTGTCAATTAGGTTAGTATTGTAGAGTAACTACAATGATGTTGATCCATCCTCAGTTTTCTCCTATCACAGTATTAAACTCTGTAACTGTTTTAAAGTCACCATTGGCCTTATGGTGAAATGCCTGAGCGGTTTTCTTCCTCTCTGGCAACTGAGTTAGGAAGGAGGCCTGTATCCTTTTAGTGACTGGATATATTGATACATCATACAAAGTCTAATTAATAACTTCACCATGCTCAAAGGGATATTCAATGTCTGCTTTTTTTTTTACCCATCTACCAATAGGTGCCCTTCTTTGCGAGGCATTGGAAAACCTCCCTGGTCTTTGTGGTTGAATCTGTGTTTGAAATTCACTGCTCGACTGAAGGACCTTACAGATAATTGTATGTGTGGGGTTCAGAGATGAGGTAGTCATTCAAAAATCATGTTAAACATTATTATTGCACACAGAGTGAGTCCATGGAACTTATTATGTGTCTTGTTAAGCACATTCTTACTCCTGAACTTATTTAGGCTTGCCATAACAAAGGGGTTGAATACTTATTGACTCAAGACATTTCAGCTTTTCATAATTCATTTGTAAAAAATTTGAAAAACATAATTCCACTTTGACATTATGAGGTATTGTGTGTAGGCCAGTGACAAAAATTCATTTTAAATTCAGGCTTTAACACAACACAATGTTGAAAAATGCAAGGGGTTTGAATACTTTCTGAAGGCACTGTAGCGTTTTGGAATGAATCTCTTCAAATAAGACTGTCAGATAGATTGGAATAGTATAAGAGATTGTGTGTGTCCTCTATTTATTATATTTCTATCTTCAACATGCAGTTCCAGATACAGCCCTGCCATTTGTTGAAGGCAGCCAATCCAATAGTTTCCAAAAAGTAGTCACTTCCTGAGAAATGTAATCAAATATTTTTTTTAAGTAGTTGCTTTCTCAAATCTGTATTCAAACTGTTTACAAAAGTAGTTACCTTCTGAGATCTGTATTCAAATAGTTGTAGTCACCTCGAAAGTAACTATTTGATCCCCCAGAAAAATAGTTACTTTCCACAAAGCATAGTTAAAACTATAGTTATCATTATTATTATAGTTATTTGACTCTTAGAGCAACATATATCCATAATTTTTTTGTAAAAAATGCAGCAATATTCAAACCATGTCTCTGATTTTTAAGCAATCAAGACATCTTTCTTTTATATATTTTTTATTAATTTGGAAAATGTTCTATAAATCTCTTTCACTTTGAAAATGTTGTGTAGGTTGTGTAGATCTGTAGGAAAAAAATATAATTTAATCCCTTTTTAGATTTAATTTTAAGGCAGAAAAATTTGAAGACAAGTGCAAGGGGGTGGATAGACTTTCACTAGGCACTGTATATATGCAGTACATGGACGCAATGACAACATTCTCAATGATCTTCCCCCTCTTTCTGTCTCTCTTCCACCTTTTCCTCAATCACCCCACCCTCCCTCCACCCCATCGTCCCCGCCCCTGACAAGAATGTGTCTCTCCACACCCGTGACACAATCCTCTGTTTGAAGTCAGACGAACACAACCCGTCCAGCAATCTCCCCATCTCTCTCTGTTCCCTTCTATCCCCTCCTCCGTCCGTCTGTCTGTCAGCCGTGCTCATCCCCACCCCCTGCAGCTGTGATAGGGGCACAGGCGCTGTCATTGTGCTCCTCTTCCTCACCCTGCCACCTGCACAGGACATGGGCCCCGACCAGGCCGCTTTCATCCCCCTCATCAGCGCAGGCCCCTCCGCCCCAGGCCTGTCACTGTGGAATGGCTGACACATAAGCCAGAGGCGAGAGGGCCACAGAAAAGGGGCTGCTGTTGTCACCTCTCCATCTCGGTTTGTTTCCAGGTCAAGAGGAGCTAAAATATGCAGGATTTGTCCACAGCGAAGCTACAGATTCTATCATAGGTCGCTATATTTGTAAATTATTTTGAATACAACAGGAGGCAGAGACCTGGGAGTGTGTGGGTATTGCCAGGATGCATGATGGGGATTTTCCTGATTTATTTAGCCTTGTAGCCCAAAGTTAATTATTTAAAGACCCAGCTAACAATTCTAGGGAGAGAGAATGTTTTTGTAATCTTACCCGTAATGTTGATGTTTGAGTGTCCAGTTTTCCATCAGTTATGGGAACATTCTATGTATGTTTGCAAAAATCTCCTGAGAAACTATTTAGCATGTTTTGGCATTAGAGTTAGGAGAACAGAATTTACCCAGAATGTGGTTAAACAGAATTTACCCAGAATGTGGTTACCATGTTCTAAGAATATCCTATTGTTCTAGACACTTTCATGGGACGTTGCACGAACATTAATGTGTCCAGTTTTCTGAGGTTTAGGAGAATATTCCATCAACGTCACACCCAACATTTGGACACAGAGTACAGAGGCCTAAAGCACTTGATGTGTGGATTAGTTTCCTCCTAATCTGCATGTTGTCTCTTCTGTCTTTTCTCTTATGCTGTGTGTGTGTGTGTGTGTGTGTGTGTGTGTGTGTGTGTGTGTGTGTGTGTGTGTGTGTGTGTGTGTGTGTGTGTGTGTAATAAAATGGGGACAGGGAGGATGGTGTCTGTTGGAGTGATTTATGAGCATGCGCTGTGAAGTGTCTTCAGTGCATAATATTGTTCTCTGACAGTGACTGGTCCCTCGGTAGGGTGTGTGTGTGTGTGTGTGTGTGTGTGTGTGTGTGTGTGTGTGTGTGTGTGTGTGTGTGCGTGCGTGCGTGCGTGCGTGAAAGAGAGAGAGGGAGAGAGAGAATGAGATTAGGAGAAAGGGGCTGCAGGTGAGCTCAACGTAATCAATCAGCAGCACGCCACGTTACTCTTTCCCTCTGGATTCCCCATTTCACAGGTACCTGGCTTTTTCTTTCGGATTCTTCCAAAACTATTAATCAATTCTGAAAAATAACTTACTTGCAATAGACTAAGTTACATAACAACCACATGGTGCCCCTTACCCACACACACACACATATGCACACACACACACACACACATGCACACACCAGTGTTTCTCAGCTTTCACTGTTCGCCACATCAGGATACAGTTCTGTTCGTGGATTCCGGTTTTAAACAGAATTTTGCTCGGCTTTGGCCAACAACTCAACCGCAGCCCTGGTGCGACCGGTTATCACATCCACTATAGGGTGAAGCTAAAGCAAGACAGGGACAGAACTCAAAAGAACATCTCTAACGAATCTTTTCCTTCTACCACCCACATATCAACCAACCACATACAGTAAATCACACTGAGCTATTACAAGAAAACAGTATGGCATGCATTTGTGTAAGACAATCAAATGATTACCACTATTGGAGTTGACGCCAGATGTAAGGAATTGGTGATAATATGAAGTGCTAATGCAACATACTGTACAATACTTTCTCTCTGTTGTGATATAAAAATAACAGTGTATTTGCCAAACATACAGCAGTTCAGAAATAAGTATACATATGATACTCAACCTGCTGTAGAATGCAATAACATCTGACATACTCGTAACCAAGTTGCGATGTGATGGTGTCATTAGATTGTAAGAAGCATTACATTACCTCAGCCGTTTTGTTTGACATAGCAAACAAGTGAGGGAAACTATGTCTACTATAGTCTGTCTGCAGTAGTTTGATGGTGTGAGAATGAGAGGCTGAGGGGGTCTCCCAGCCCTGCAGCTCCAAATCTCCACTGAAGCACAAACAAAAATGCCATTGTGGGGCCTTGTAGCACCACCGAACATCAGTGCTAACAGACATTGTCTTTGCCTTCCTCCAATCTGTATTTTCAGAATGATTATTGTATGGCACATACAATATGTTAATGTTATCATGGCGACCAGAATGGGTTTTGTTATTATGGCACAGGAAATGAACTAGGGCAACCTCTCATGACCCTAAAGGGAAAGCAGTGACCTCAGACTGACCTGTGTCTCATCTCCTGTTTGTCCGACTCTCTGATTGGGAAGAATTAAGCAGGTCTCCACCCTCCTCCAGAAGCTTGGATCATTCTGCTTAGGCCTGGTCTGCACACTATAATACATAATTGTTGGAAATTCATGCAATTTCCCAGAGGAGTGTGGAGAGAGAAGGGAAATGTAATCAATGATGTCATGCAGTATGTGATATCTTTGAATGTAATGGAGAATTCAATCCAACATTGCCCTCTTGCTTATTCATTGATTGACAGGTGATCCACTATTTAATATCTTCATCACATAACAAATTATATTCTTGGTGATGAGGAATTTAACAAATACATCAGCAAACCACATCTACATAGATACTATAGATGAAATATGGATTGTGCACATCATATTTGTTTTCATATTGCAATAAAAAAAAGTCAGGATCAAACTTTGTACTCTCACTTTCCGAAGTCAAAAGCTGAATGAATGACTCAGGTCACCACCAGAGATGGGAAAATATATTGAGAGCAAGATTGCCCTCGGCTGGTGGAAGTAGGTTGCTGCCATTTGGATTTCACACTGATGTCAGGCAATGTTTCAACACATTTGATTTCAAAAAATTATATATTCTTTCATGTTTTTCAGATTTATTTCAAATTTGGTTCATTTTTCCCCATTTCATTTACAACTGGTACAGGTTCACATACATTATCACCCAATGTCTTTGATTGCCCCATACTCTTCCCCACACACATGGCCTAATCTCATGCATTCTCTAATCTATCAAAGAAAACATACCATTACAAAACAAGAAATCATACAAATATTAGAAATATTACAGAGGGACAATTAGAAACTTTACATGAAGATGCTAACCCTTTGAATTGGGGTCCACACTGTGTCAGAGCTTCAACATTGTTCAAATACACAAATGTAATGGCCAGTGGGAAGTAGCAATTGTGGTTCGTAAGTGCAAAAAATATGACAAAGACATTTAGAGATTGTTTGACTCACAAGGACCACCTTATTTCAGGGGCACCGGCATTGATGACTACTTCCCCCTTTAGAGGAGCGCACAGGTTGGAAGGGCTCAAGGGAGTATAGACATGGGACAGATGAGACATGTATGAGACAACCCTTACAGAGTAACTTGACTATCCATAGGAAAACAATTATTGTTAATCTCCAACAATCATTCAAAAGGGTGAAAACTAAACAATACAAAAGAGGATTCCAAATTTAAACATGAAAATGCTGCATTTACTCTGAGCAACAACACTCTTCCACGCAATTTAAATCACAATAGACTCTCCCACGTAAGGTGTGATGCAAGCATTCACTGTGGTGTTAAGCATAATGCCGTCATTTTTGTAGCGAGGCACAAAGGCACAAGTGTTTGTATGCACCTACAGGTTACATTACATTTACATGAGTGTGTACTTCGTGTCTGGGTCTCAGAGGATGGACAATGAGCTTGCGGGTGTAAGTGTGCAAATGTCGATGTTCCTTATTATAAATGAGTGCAGGAGCGGTTCAACAGATGTGTAACACGTGTGTGTGTACTGTACACTAATGTGTGTATTGTGGTGTTTACAGGGTGTCCAGCAGACTGTCGATGCGGGTCACCAGCTCCAGTCTCTTGCTAGTTAGGGTCTTCTCGTTGTCGATGTAGGCCTCCTTCTTCACCTTGCCTGCCACCAGGCGCTCAGCCTCCTGACAGGAGCGACCCACCAGGTCCTTCACCTGGCCATCCAGCTTCTGCACCTCACCCACCTGACGACACACACAGCGGAATCTAAGGCTCAGCACAGTGTATACACACAGGTAGGTACAAATACTGTACACACACCAAATACTGTACATACAATTGAATACACACACACCTTATCTGCAAGGTCGGAGCCCTCTGCTTTAAGGCGGGCCTGCAGGGAGCTGATGTCGTTGGTGAGGGTACGGTGGTCAGCCTCCAGGGTCTTGCGACCGCTGTTCAGGGCCCCCGTGTCTCGGGATTGCTTATAGCGATTCACCACCTCGTCCATGTGGCGGTACAGCCCTAAACGCTTGTTGACCAGGGTCAGGACCTGTTCTGTGATGGAGGCCACCTTCATACGAACCTCTGCAGCAGGGTCCTGAAAAAAAGATGGAGAGAGAGAGAGAGAAGGGGAGAGAGTCAGCAAGTGCACACAGGAAAAAGGAGATGAACTTAGAAGGGAGTAATGACAGGAGAGTTAAAGTGCTCCCAATAATAATAATTATAATAAGAGGAGCAGAGTATGTTGAGGATGGTGTACCTTAGTGATGGAGAAGTCCAGGCGCACATAGATGATGACTGTGAAGAAGAGGATGTAGAAGGCCCCCACCACCAATAGAGGCTCCTGCAGCATCAGGATCTTATTGAAGGTATAATGCACCTGGCGGACGAGAGAAAGAGCCACTGAGGAACTTGCACCATCAATGAGGGACCTAGTCTTCCATTGCATCTAAAGCATTTCTATGCAAGGGTTTCAGATGTAAAGCATGCAGCTGTTGGGCCCTAGTGGTGGTGTATCTCTGGAGCGATTGCTTATAACAATCCTGTCATAGTAATGGCACACTGGTTTTAGAGATACATTGAACCCAAAAACATAAACTGCCTTCCTTTCTACCCTGAACTTTCCCCCTAAAGTCTCAAATTCCCTCTTCCATTAGGGCCCAGCAGCTCACCACTATGTCCTGGATGTGCTGCTCCACCAGGTTGTTCTTAGAGGCCACCAGCACGGGACGGCCAAAGGTGTCCAGGTAGGTGTAGTGCAGCTGGTCTGGAATACGGTCAATGGGGTAGGGGGTTTCCACATGGATGTTCCTGAGAGGAAGCGATGAGGATCATTAGAATGAAACAGGAGATTTCCACAGACACTAAAGGAGTGTGTGCACATACACATCATGCATGCTCACCTGGCGCCTTCTGGCAGTATGAGTTTAACAGTGAGGGAGTCGATGACTTGGTCATCATATACATGGTCAACCAGCCTCATCTTCAGAGCGTACTGATCACCTGAGAACCAATGGGATGCATTCAAGCAATAGCATATTCTTTTTTAGCTTTCAGGCCATTTCTCTTTAAAGAGTTATGGTTATTAATAGTTATGGTAATCTGGTAATCTAGTCAACGCAACTCACCCAGAGTGTAGAGGTACTCGTAGCTGGGCAAATTGTAGCCGATAATGTAGTGGGTCTTCCAGCCACCAAACAGGGGGAAACGGGGCCTAACCTCCACCTCCACAGATTCTTCCAGAATCTGGAGGTGGGAGGTGGATATGTTGCCGATCTCATCCCGGTAGTACACATCCTGAGCTGAGGCAGGAAGGATGGTCTTCGGGAGAATTAAGAGATGAAGTTATTATACAGTCTTAAGAAGTCCTTCTGCGAGCATGATTTGAAACTGCACCAATATCCATGGCAATAAAGGAGTCTTTAAAATCAACACACCTTAAAGGATTTGACTGATGAGATGCCACTGTCAGACTGGCGCTGGTAGTCATAACGGGAGAAAGGCCCTTTCAGGAATGCCCCTGTGTGCCTCATGTCAATGGTCTCTTCCACAGCAATGTTTCCCCAATGAGAGACTTCGATGATGCGGGTGATGCTGCTAATGGTGAGGAAGGGTGTGTTGTTCTCATAATGGACCTTCATGGCATCCTAAAAAGAACAAAAAAAATACATTTCTCCTTTTGCTTCTCTTCCAAATATGAATCCACTAAGCCAATGTTTGCTATTCAGCTGGCCCAAAAGTGTTTAAACCATTGAAGGACGTGGCCTAGGGTGGTCTAGCTGTCTAAGCCGCAGCCTCTGGCACACGTCTACACATGTGTACGGTTCAAATCCAGCCTTCTGCCCTTTGATACAATGTCCATCTTTCCCCACTGTCATCCTCTCTATCAATCTATTCAATAAAGTCTGAAAATATACATAAAAATATATATTAAATGAATCCTAAATCCAGTCAGGGCCCTCCGAGACACTTTACCTCGCTGAATGGGGCGACATCACGGAAGGGGCCATACTCAATAGCTTCATCGCTCTTGCTGGGGTTGCCCAGCTTGGTGTAGCTCTCCACAGTCTTAGAGGCGAGGCGGACGCGGGTGGTCTGGCTGCGGGTGGGGTAGGGGGAGTACAGGTAGTGGTTACCCTGGAACACCACCAGCTGACGCTCAGCCTGGGTGATGTGGGTGGGGTAGGGCCTCAGGATGTGGCTCAGGACAATCTCCACCTTCACCCGCAGCTTAGCGCCCACACCCAGACCGGAGGGTAACTGCACCTTGTAAAACTCCCCACTGTAGAGAGGATAGCAGATAGGAGAGGGGTCAGGTCACCAGCACTAACATATATGGTTCTAAAAACAAGAAGGGGACAAACTAAAACAGTGAGAGAAACTCCACTGGAAAAAAAGGGGTGAAGTTTAACATGGTGAAATTGTGCATATCTACAAACTTTACAGTCTAATGACATACAATGGACAATGCAATGTAACCTTAGTGAACAGGGATGCACAATATATTAGACTTCTCACCTTTGACCTTGGATCGTTGTCTGCTTGAGCTCAAGCATGACATCCTCCTCTTCATCACCCTTCACCTGGCAAAGACATACATTTACATGTCTGTCCATTCTGCTGCAATTCAACTACAACTGGACATGAGGCTTATTCATTTACAGGCAGGAATGAGTTTGAGTATGCAGCGGTAGCGGTGTGAATGTAGAGTGAGTATTCATTCCCCACTGGTATGGGTGGAGTATAAACAATCACTGATAGTAGGAGAAAGCCAAGGGGGAAGCATTTAGTCTAACTAACAACTATCTGACATAAATTAAGGTCCTAGGCAATTCAAAAATATTGCACACAAAAGGGGGCTGTTCAGATTAGACACGGAAGTAGCTACCCTCTAAGCGCATACGTGTCATTTCGCCACTGACAGAACGAGTTGTGTTGCGGAAGTGCACCCGCTAGCCCATTCAAACAGTTCCACGCCACCTTCATATAATGCCCTTCTAAAAATGTTTTTGCAACATCACTTCCACAGTTAGGTAGATCGGCCATTTAGCAAAAGTAGACATTTACTAGCGAGCAAGTACTGTAGCTTCCTTGCCTTGACTGGGCGCTTCGGGACAAAGATGTGCATGTTAGCTAACTAGCTAAAGTTAGCCGGCTAGCTAATGTTAGTTAGCCAACTAGCTACCTGGCAAAATATGGTTTACAGCAAATTCATTCCGAAATCACTTACCGATGCTCCGACATACGCGAGGTGGGGGGCCAGGTCGGGCTCTACTGCCAAGATAAAGTGATGTACCGCCGAGTCTCCCTGGTTTGACAGAAGAATCTCTGCTGTTATCTTAGCAAGGTGCGTGCTCAGATCCACCGTTCGTTTCACCTCCTCGTTCACCAGCCCATCGGCAGCCACTCGATAACACAGTCCAGTGATAAGAAGAAGACAAGTGGGGGCGGCGTAGAAGGGGATGTTTCGCGCCATGGTTATAAAATTAAACATGAGATAATTTGCTTAATTATTGAGTTGAAGCTAGAGAGAAAGAAAGGCCGCGCACCACTGTAGGACCAAAGCTGCAGCCGTAAGGATGACGTTTCATTCATTCCTCACGTACTGACGTCATGGCGTAAACTGGTCCAAAGATGCTGTTCGGAACAGCTGTAGGTACATTGTGTTTTTCTGGCCCAGTAATAAAGGTCCTTGGCAATTCCAAATCTTGCACACAAAAGGAGCTGTTCAGATCAGAAACAGGAAGTAGCTCTCCTCTCAGCGCATACGTGTAATTTCGCCACTGACAGAAGGTGTTGGGTTGTGGAAGTGGTGGAAAAAGTACTCAATTGTCATACTTGAGTACTCAATTGTCATACTTGCGTAAATTGTCATACTTGCGTAAAAGATACCTTCATAGAAAATGACTCAAGTAAAAGTGAAAGTCACCCAGTAAAATACCACTTGAGTAAAAGTATTTATTTTAAATATACTTAAGTATCAAAAGTAAATGTAATTACTAAAATATACTTAAATATCAAAAGTAAAATTATAAATAATTTCAAATTCCTTATATTAAGCAAACCAGACATAATTTACAACTGAAACATTTGTGTTTAGTGAGTCAACCAGATCAGAGGCAGTAAGGATGACCATGGATGTTCTCTTGATAAGTGCGTGAATTTGACAATTTTCCTGTCCTGCTAAGCATTCAAAATGTAACGAGTACTTTTGGGTGTCAGGGAAAATGTATGGAGTAAAAAGTACATTATTTTCTTTAGGAATGTAGTGGAGTAAAAGTAAAAGTTGTGAAAAATAGAAATAGTAAAGTAAAGTACAGATACGCAAAAAAACGACTTAAGTAGTACTTTAAAGTATTTTTACTGATCTGGACCATATAGTGCAAATCAATTGTAAAATAAAAAGGTGCGCCCCAGGTCTGGCCCACATACTGCACAAAGGTACAGCTCAGTTCCCGGCTAGGCTGCCGGTCTAAAGGTGGGCCAGATGCAGGCTGCCACACAGACCTTATATGGGGCTACATTAAACCAGCTACTCCCCAAATTAAATTTAAATACTCTTCTATTAAATGCTGTACTTAAATGAAAGAGAAGAGCAGTTGCAGATAAAGTCAAACAAAAATGGCTTCCCGAGTGCCGCAGCGGTCTAAGGCACTGCATCGCAGTGCTTGAGGTGTCACTAAATCAAATCCAATTTTATTTGTCACATGCGCCGAATACAACAGGTGTAGACCTTACCGTGAAATGCTTACTTACAAGCCCTTAACCAACAATGCAGTTCAAGAAATAGAGTTAAGAAAATATTTACTAAATAAACTAAAGTAAAAAATTAAATAAAAAGTAACACAATAAAATAACTATAATGAGGCTATATACAGGGGGTACTGGGACCAAGTCAATGTGCGGGGGTACAGGTTAGTCGAGGTAATTTGTACATGTAGGTAGGGGTAAAGTGACTATGCTTAGATAATAAACAGTGAGTAGCAGCAGTGTGGGGGGGGGGGTCAATGTAAATAGTCCAGGTGGACATTTGATTAATTGTTCAGCAGTCTTATGGCTTGGGGGTAGAAGCTGTTAAGGAACCTTTTGGACCTAGACTTGGTGCTCCATTACCGCTTGCCGTGCGGTAGCAGAGAGAATAGTCTATGACATGGGTGGCTGGAGTCTTTGACAATTTTCGGCCCTCCTTTTCCGGTAGTCCATGATAATCTCCTTTGTCTTGCTCACATTGAGGGAGAGGTTGTTGTCCTTGTACCAAACTGCCAGGTCTCTGACCTCCTCCCTATAGACTGTCTCATCGTTGTCTGTGATCAGGCCTACCACCGTTGTGTCGTCAGCAAACTTAATGATGGTATTGGAGTCGTGCTTGGCCTCGCAGTCGTGGGTGAACAGGGAGTACAGGAGGAGACTAAGCACGCACCCCTGAGGGGCCCCCGTGTTGAGGATCAGCGTGGCAGATGTGTTGTTGCCTACCCTTACCAACTGGGGGCGGCCCGTCAGGAAGTCCAGGATCCAGTTGCAGAGGGGAGTGTTTAGTCCCAGGGTCCTTAGCTTAGTGATGAGCTTTGTGGGCACTATGGTGTTGAACGCTGAACTGTAGTCAATGAACAGCATTCTCACATAGGTGTTCCTTTTGTCCAGGTGGGAAAGGGCAGTGTGGAGCGTGATTGAGATTGTGTCATCTGTGGATCTGTTGGGGTGGTATGTGAATTGGAGTGGGTCTAGGGTTTTCGGGATGATGGTGTTGATGTGAGCCATGACCAGCCATTCAAAGCACTTTATGGCTACCGACGTGAGTGCTACGGGGCGGTAGTCATTTCAGGAGGTTACCTTCGCTTTCTTGGGTGGAGGGACTATGGTGGTCTGCTTGAAACATGTAGGTATTACAGACTCGGTCAGGGAGAGGTTGAAAATGTCAGTGTTGACACTTGCCAGTTGGTCCGCACATGCTCTGAATACACATCCTGGTAATTCGTCTGGCCCCGTGCCTTGTGAATGTTGGCCTGTTTGAAGGTCTTGCTCACATCGGCTATGGAGAGCGTGATCACACTGTCGACCGGAACAGCTGGTGCTCTCATGCATGCTTCAGTGTTGCTGTTCAGTGTTGCTTGTTACAGACCTGGGTTCGATCCCAGGCTGTGTCACAAAAGGCAGTGGCCAATGTCCCATTGGCTCATCGCACTCTAGTGACTCCTTGTGGCAGGCCGGGCGCCTGCAGGCTGACTTCAGTCGTCAGTTGAACTGTGTTTCCTCCAACACATTGGTGTAGCTGGCTTCCGGGTTAAGCAGGCGGGTGTCAAGAAGCGCGGTTTGGCGGGTCATGTTTCGTAGGACGCATGACTCGACCTTTGCCTCTCCCGAGCCCGTTGGGGAGTTGCAGCGATGAGACAAGATTGTAATTGGATCGCAATTGGATATCACGAAATTGGGGAGAAAAAGGGGGGTAAAATTAACTTTAAAAAAATAAGAATTCATCAAAAAATTAATCTGGTTTATTACAAGTCGCAACAGGAAACAAGAAGCATAGAAAAACATACAGCTTCTTACATGAAGCACAAAAAATATATAGTATAGGTACTCCAATGCATTGAATTGGTGCCACAAATGACAGCGGCCAGGTAAACAAAACCAAAAAATGGACTGCTGTCATACCTTGTCCATATACTGCTTACAGGGTAAGGATAACTGGTCATACGAAAATGGGTCACCTTTTAGCCAGGTACATTTCTATGGCAACGAATCCTTCAGAACTAACCCGCTCCGGAGCAGGCTAACTCGGGGCTAACTCCATTTATCCTGAATGAAGTGTCTGCCACGAGTACCAATGCAATCAGATACCCTCCCTCTCACAAAGATTGTGGCATCATCACCTTCATTTGAGGAAGACGACTGATTAAGTATTAATAAATAAATAAAAATGGTGTACCATTTTTTAAATGTTAAAATACCTAACACATTTAGTTATGACAGATTTACCTTTTAGGTCTGTGTGTAGCTAGCTACAACTAACTTTAGTTGAAAATGACCAGAATAGAGATGGAATATCACTCAAGCTTCATTGACTCATGTTTAAATAGGCCATAGGGTTTTAATTTGCCTGGCTACCCAGACTCCTTGCCAAACGCTACACTCAATCAATCAATCAATTTTATTTTATATAGCCCTTCTTACATCAGCTAATATCTCGAAGTGCTGTACAGAAACCCAGCCTAAAACCCCAAACAGCTAGTAATGCAGGTGTAGAAGCACGGTGGCTAGGAAAAACTCCCTAGAAAGGCAAAACCTAGGAAGAAACCTAGAGAGGAACCAGGCTATGAGGGGTGGCCAGTCCTCTTCTGGCTGTGCCGGGTGGAGATTATAACAGAACCATGCCAAGATGTTCAAAAATGTTCATAAGTGACAAGCATGGTCAAATAATAATCAGGAATAAATCTCAGTTGGCTTTTCATAGCCGATCATTAGAGTTTAAAACAGCAGGTCTGGGACAGGTAGGGGTTCCATAACCGCAGGCAGAACAGTTTAAACTGGAATAGCAGCAAGGCCAGGCGGACTGGGGACAGCAAGGAGTCACCACGGCCGGTAGTCCCGACGTATGGTCCTAGGGCTCAGGTCTCTCAGTTGGCTTTTCATAGCCGATCATTTAGAGTTGAAAACAGCAGGTCTGGGACAGGTAGGGGTTTCGTAGCCGCAGGCAGAACAGTTGAAACTGGAATAGCAGCAAGGCCAGGCGGACTGGGGACAGCAAGGTGTCATCATGCCCGGTAGTCCTGACGTATGGTCCTAGGGCTCAGGTTCTCAGAGAGAAAGAGAGAACGAGAGAATTAGAGAGAGCATACTTAAATTCACACAGGACACTGGATAAGACAGGAGAAGTACTCCAGGTATAACCAACTAACCCCAGCCCCCCGACACATAAACTACTGCAGCATAAATACTGGAGGCTGAGACAGGAGCGGTCCGGAGACACTGTGGCCCCATCCGAAGAAACCCCCGGACAGGGCCAAACAGGAAGGATATAACCCCACCCACTCCGCCAAAGCACAGCCCCCGCACCACTAGAGGGATATCCCCAACCACCAACTTACAATCCTGAGACAAGGCCGAGTATAGCCCACAGAGGTCTCCACCACAGCACAAACCAAGGGGGGGGCGCCAACCCAGACAGGAAGATCACGTCAGTAACTCAACCCACTCAAGTGACGCACCCCTCCCAGGGACGGCATGAAAGAGCACCAGCAAGCCAGTGACTCAGCCCCTGCAACAGGGTTAGAGGCAGAGAACCCCAGTGGAGAGGGGAACCGGCCTGGCAGAGACAGCAAGGGCTGTTCGTTGCTCCAGCCTTTCCGTTCACCTTCACACTCCTGGGCCAGACTACACTCAATCATATGACCTACTGAAGAGATAAGTCTTCAGTAAAGACTTAAAGGTTGAGACCGAGTCTGCGTCTCTCACATGGGTAGGCAGACTGTTCCATAAAAATGGAGATCTATAGGAGAAAGCCCTGCCTCCCGCTGTTTGCTTAGAAATTCTAGGGACAATTAGGAGGCCTGCGTCTTGTGACCGTAGCGTACGTATTGGTATGTACGGCAGGACCAACTCGGAAAGATAGGTAGGA